AAACGTTTCCCACCAGCCCCCCCCCCCCCTTATCCTGGGCTAGACTAAAGATATTGCTTCATGTCTTCCCACTTTTCTATACCGCATTTTCTTTGACTTCTCTCTGGGCTCCACATGGCCTTCCCCTTTATTTATTTCTTTGTGGATTCTAATCCAGCTTTCTGTTCACCTGATCCAGAGAAACTTTCTCAGATACTTGCTCAATGTCCGTGTGTAGACCTACAGAAAAGATGTGGCCTTTGTTGATTGAAAAAGGAAAGGGGGGAGGGGGGGGCTTAGAGGCGTATTGTAGAAGGTTACTGAAAAAAAGTGTAGCATCTGACGCTAATTGACTCTAAAGATTGGAAATGCGAGAAAATAGGCGTATAAAAACCAATCGATTGAGTGAATTTTTTATGAATTAAAACATTGATAGGCTGACTGACTTATAGAAGGCTTGGTTTGTATATTTGACATCATTTTGGAAAGCGTTTTAATAGTGAAACGCTGGACAATACTAGGCTGGTCCTTGCTGGCCAGTTCAAAGCAGTCGTCTCCCTGATCATCATACAATGGAGGCATTTAGACCTTAAATGAAGTCAGATTCGCTGGGGGAGTTTTACAGTCACTCTTGATACTGAGTTCTTCATTCCCACTTTATATTGGTCACGGCGTCAATGGTGAGTAGTTGGTGCTTGCGCTTGTGTTATCTGTTCATTCTGCTTCTTTTCATTTGGTATAACTATCCTGATCTGATGGGAAAGGAAACGTTGGGTTTTTTTCTCTAGATGACGCAGAGTAAACTGCAACAAAACGACAACACACAATTCAGGCAAAATAGATAACGAACTTATCTCAAATTCTCTTCTGGCATAGCTGTATGCTGCACTTATACTAGAAAAACAGCAATGTGGACACTGAGAAAATCACGTTTTAACTTTCGTACGTAAATAAAAATTCCTACCAAACTGAAAATGCTTAAGTCCCGCGCATTACAATATGAACTTATGCGGTTGCGAGTGCCGTAAAACACGTTTTTTAAATGTATTTAAATGAAAATAGCTGAAATGTAAAATCAAACGCGAAACTAACTTTTCTATTGCTGAATTTGCTCTTGCCTCTCTTACCCAAATACACCTGTATTGCCATGTCTTTTTTTTTTCATAACGTTAGCGGTAAGAATAGTATTGATAAGCAGGTGATTGCGAAATCATACCTGCAAAATTCTAGGACCTGCTTATTATTAAAGGTATGCATGCATTAGGTTCTTAAAAAAGGATGAATGGTGTATATTCATGTATTATAACTTTCCCCTGCGTCCCTGATAAACTTTTGAGGAGGTGCAGTCGTAAGAATAATGGGTTGATTCCAAGACAATCCTGGAAAAACGAAGTCCTGGATTTTATCATGGAACAAATAGAAAGTGATCTGTTTTCTTTCAGCGGGTCTGGATGAGGATTCCTTCTTTAAATGTACCGCCTACGCTACAGATCTGGAAAAAATATTCTTTGGTGGGGAGCAGAACAAGAAAACCTATTGTTTTGCTTGCATGGCGTTGCATTTATTTTAAGAACAATGGCCGAACAGAGGCCAAAGAGAGGTACAAGAAAATACCGAGAATAAAAAAGTCGGATGAGGGAGGGAGGGGGGATGAGAAAATGGGAGAGAAGGAGATTGGTGGTAAAAGAGAGGAAACGGGTGGTGGCTGGGGGATAGGGGAGAGGGGAGGGGGCTCTTATACTTGGACGACCACTCATACCAAAAAAACGGGACACAGGAACATGCATATCCACGCACAGGAGGCAGGCAAACACACACACACACACACACACACACACACACACACACACACACACACACACACATACACACACATACACACTCACAATGATCGGTACGAAGGAAGACTTTTCAAAACGAAAAAAACGGTAGATGTTTGCAACAGTTTTAAGACAGAAATAAAACAACAAAAGACTAGATTGAAAAAAACAAAACAAAGGAAAATTTAAAAAAAGAATACAAGGGAATTACCCAATCACCGAGACACACGAGCTATTGGACTGGGCTATGTTGGGAAAATGCGTCGTGTTCGATGACAGCGATTACATTGGTGACGTCACAACCAGTGATTGCCATCTGGCTGTGATGCGGGTTTAATGTCTGAACATCACGGGAAATGGCTAAAATTAGGCGTGATATCATCGATGGACGGACAAACTGACTTCCCCGTGACCCCTGCCCCCCGGTGCACTGTGCCCTTCATTCCTCCTACTAATCTCACTCTTCTCCCTCTATTAGTTCGTGGTTAGAACAACCTGGTTTTCCTCTTGCCGTCTATGGTTGGAGGAAAGTCCTGGTTGATTCTCTGCTCTCTTCTGTTTTGTATGTTTTCGGAATTGTATGGGTTTTATACCCTTGCAGCACTGTAAGGTTATTAATTAAGAAGCGTGAAGTCTGACGTTGTGTCCTTCGGAAAGGCATTTTGCACGAGTTTTCCTCACTTCACCCAAGTGAGAATGGGTATCCAGCTATAGGCAACGAAACGTCTTGCCAGTGTGTTAGTGTTTGGGTCCGTGCAATCCGCAGATTGTACTGTATGTTTCCCGTGAAGACGAGAATGTTTCTCTGACTGCTCTCGGGTCCGCTGGGGTAATAATAGCTGTAAAGAGCATAGACCATGCTGTAGAGCCTGGTTGTGCGCTATATAATTGCAGTTATTATTATCATAATTTAAGCTTCATCCCCGATAGGACCGGGGCAAATGGAAAAATTTGTAAGAAGGGTCTTTCGCTAGGACACAACGTCTGAACGTCTGAATGGCTGTAAAGCGCACAGAGCGTGCTGTAGAGCGTGGATATTCGCTATATAAATGCAATTATTATAAATTATTGTAATAACGAGCTGATCCCGGATCCCCCGAACTCGTAAAAATCTCATGATTGCTGGTCCGGAAACCTAACGACTCGTCTACCGACAGCACTGTCTCTGTTTAATGAAGTGTTTTTCTTAGGTATCGTGTTTGTATTTACTGGAAACAAAAGATGACTCAGAGAGTTAGATGACAAAAGGAAAGATTCCAAGGTATTTGGCCAGATGTTTAAATCCATTTAAAATTGTGAAACAAAAATTCGTCAAGCTGTAAAGTTAGTACTTTCTTTGAGTTGAAAGATTATTACTTCAGCACAACTTCTCTCCTCTCTCAGATCTTAGACGGTATTCGTATCTCACTGGTGGTATATCGATTGCATAAAGGCCCGAAAATCAAATTATGATATCCGAATTCGACTTTTTTAAAGTCATTTTTAAATACCTCACTCCTTTTCAAAAAGGCAACAGTTTCTATTTATAGCTTGTAATGTTTGTGAAATTTTTTTAAAAGGTGGGCGCCATTTATCGAGAGCTGCCATTGGTGCATTATGGAAACGGGAAATGGGGGTATGAATAGGGCCCTAGGTTCATCCAAATCTTTCCTCATTAAAATACAACCGTTGCGGGAAGTGTACTCTTGAGGACAAAAGTAGCAGTTGATATATTAATTCTTCTCCGTAGGCCTTAAGAAGTCCCGCTCAACACACACAAGAAAGAAGAGTTGCCAACCTTGAAACGCCAAAAAGAGCTTACCGAAGAAAAGGCGGGAAGGTTTCTACAAACAAACGCCCGTCCAAGCCCTCCGAAGCGCCTTGTAATTTATATTAACTTTTTGAGCGCAGTAAAATCTCCGGTCCTCTTCTGTACCCTTAAATAACCCGCGTAGAACAAGATTAATATGGAGGGTATTAGGCAGTCGTCCGTCCTTGTGTGAATAGCAAGGAACTTGTTTCCTGAATAAAAACTTTTGATTTCATTCAGAAAGCCATAATTGTGGGCGTGTTCGGGATTTCAAACCACGCGCTTTTCAAAAAATGAGGAAAACACGTGCCGCATATTTTGGTGCAAATATCCCCGGTTCAAAGTCTTAGTGTTGTTGTCAACTTCGGTGCTTTTTCCCTGAGTACAAACAACTTCAATGACGATTTAAATCAAGTCGACATATTAATATGAATCCTCTATGGCTTTTTATGTACGCGTGTCAAGATATTCTGTGTCTGTGCATAAGGCACCTTAAAACCGTTTTAGCGGTAAATGCAAGGTGTCGGCACACACAGTTTCATTTTGAGTGGTTGACGGTTGCACGAGTGAAGCCTAAAATGGTAAACACAACACGCCTTTGATATTGAATGAGAGCAAAACTGAATAACTACTTTAAAATTCTGACTATGTTATTACGACGTTGGCCCACACAGCGAGTCAGCGGGCGCGTGCTGTTACGTTGACAGGAAGGACGCCAAGTTAGTCGTAGGTCTGCAGGAAGTCAAGTTTGACGACAACAAGAGGTCTTTGTTGGCTGACACTGTCCACTGGTGTTAGCATTCACTTTTTGACGGGGAGCTTTTTAAAATATTCAAAGTCTGAAAAGTGAACGGTGGTCACGAACAGTAGTACGATTTTGGTTCTGCAACTTCCTTTCCATTATCCTCGTCTACAATATGCTTTTTACATCTTACGTGATTGAAATACTGTGTGCGGGAACGTGATTCCCATGTGCCAGGGTAAGGATTTTGCTCCTGAATGTGAGAAAAGGATACAATCATTTTTCATTCTATCGGTCATCATCAGCGAACATAATATAACCAATCCCTGGATTTCGTGAATAAGCCATGAGTGGATGGAAATCAACAAAGAATAGAGTAACCACGCCGAAAATTACGATGAAACATAATATGAATATCGTGACCTCAGTGCTTTTTTTGTCCTATCCTCATTTTTAATAACAGTGAAAACAGTCCATAACAAAGAGTGAGCTTAAGAAGAAGTCACATTTTCAATGTTTAAAAAAAATGGAGATAGGACAAAAAAGCACTGAGGTCGCGAATATCCCTTATTCCTCTTTTTTAAGCTGTACGTATTCCATTATTTTTTGTAAGCCCCAAAGGGAAAAAGCTGCCTTCTTTATCATATGTCTTTTATATCTCTCTCCACAGAGCCATCAAACCAAGTCTTTGTTCAAAAAGTAGATTCTGGTTCTGAGCCCCAACCACTCAGCATAACCACCTTCCACACTAAGCTCAAACATCCCGCCGAGCCGTACCACGAGCTATTGATCAAGTCTGCTATCTTGCGCATGCGTCTGCAGCACCAGAGGACAAGCCTGCAGCAAGGCGGGGTTAATACTCTGAAGTCACCCCTCAATGTGAGCATGTACTGGCTCCAGCATGAAGACAGCAGCAATCACAACACTGAGCATAGCAGCTCAAAGAAAAGACTGTTGAAATCCTTCACTATCCATGGCACTAACGTGCAGACTTTGACATTGGACGTGGAATCGCTACTGTCTTCGAGCATTGCAGACTTTGAAGACAGCCACCGACCAATAAGAATTGGGGTGACGGTTCAGGAAATGGGCTCATCTTCCAGTGATGCTAAAGACAAACATTCCATATCAGCTGTGTCTGCTTCGATATTTGGACAGCCACAGTCTCAAACAAAAGTTCCACACATACAGCAAAGTTCTACAACACAACAGCAACAGCAACAGAAACAACAGCTACAAATACAACAGCAACTTAAGAAAAATTCACAACAACAACAGCAACAACAACAACAACAGCAACAACAACAACAACCCTCGCAGCAACACCACACAGTGGACATTGCGGCGTCGCTGGAAGTGACGTCTCGAACCCGCAACCTCAGGCGTCTGTCTCGTGGCCGTCGTGACACGGCCAGACGGGAGTGCTCCAACAGCTTGTGCTGTCGCCATCAGGTCTACATCTCCTTTTCCGACATCGGCTGGGACGACTGGGTGGTGGCGCCTGAAGGCTACAACGCCTACTTCTGTAAAGGAGACTGTCCACTGCGATATAAGTCGTCTTCCACATTCTCGCAGATTAAAAGTTTGCTGCACGCCAAGAACCACAACCTCATCCCGTCCCCCGTTTGTGCTGCCACAGGTTACAGTAGCCTACCTGTCCTCTACTACGACGATTTTGGCGCATTGCAGGACACAGACTATGCCGATATGCTTGTGACTGGATGCCGATGTAATTAGATGAGATATATTATTCAAATTCCGCTTTAAAAACAGGGTGTACCTTGAAAGGAGGCCTGGTTGACGGCCTGCCACACGCAACAAGAAAATGGTTTGTGATAATATACAGTTTATAACACACGACAAACAGGACATGTCACGTGACACAAAGCACACAGCATACTGCATTCTACATGTAACAAACGACACAGGATATCTAACGTAAAAACACCATGAAATATGCAACATTCAAAACACTTTTTTCAACTAGTGCAACCTACGACAGCATGCATATTAGGAACACGAAAGATGGAAATAGCCCACCAACAAAATACGAATTGTTATCACATTATATTATGTGCATACGGCAAAAAAGCCTTGCATTCAAAAGACCAACAAGTAGGCAATTCACAAGCCACACAAAAGCATCACGTGCCGATACATAGCACTCAAACCACATCCAAGAAACGTGACACCGCGCATATACACACACATACACACACACACACAAACACACACACAAACACACAAACACACACACACACAAACGCACACACACACACACACAACACACACACACACACACACACACACACACACACACACACACACAACACCTATTGACAACGATCTGCTCAAAGACCAGTCCGCTGCCACAAGAGGCGTTACTTAAAGGAGGGACACGGTAGTTCCTGCGATAGAAATTTGCTGCTTGCTGCCATCATGCAGAAGAACTTTTACCGTACTGACCTCTCTGTTCATGTTTTGGCTGCTGAAGTCAGTTGTCTTAAGCAGTGATCAAAGGCATTTCAATACTAGAAAAATGAAGACAGGTCAACCAATGAACAGCATTCACATTCATTAAAAGATGATGACGTGTGGTGTCTGTCACGCTGAAAAAAATTCATATCATGTAGTACTGATCACAAATGCACACTAAGGACCATTTGATTTTGTATACTCTTATCTGAATATTTGTGTAAAAGGGGGAGCGGGATTAAAATGCTATGAGATTGTCTATCATGAAATTGAGAATGCGAGAATGTTTGTAAAGAGGGAGAAAGACAGGGTGAAAGAAATAAGGACTGAGAGAGAGAGAGAGAGAGAGAGAGAGAGAGAGAGAGAGAGAGAGAGAAAGAGAGAGAGAGAGAGAAATCGAAAAAAGACGTGTGAAAGAGGTATATAGAAACTGAATTGAGAGAAAAGAAGTTTCATTATGAGATTGGGTATGAGAAAAGAATGAGAGAATGATTTACGTGTTTTTAATAATTTATTCTCTCATACCGTTCAATAACAGCCTCAGTTTTTTGTGATAACTTCACCTGACATGCCCCAAAATGTTCTGACTGTTACACATAATGTACATGTATTTAATTTGGTTTGGTGTTTCTTCTACCTTAACTTGTTGTCATCTCCAATACAGTTGATTAAATTTATTCAGCTACATTGCTGCCTGCTTGAACACTTGTGCACATTTTTTTAAAGAAGTTGAGATCGCGCATTTTTGTGTATGTCTGTATTTAAACGACAGGTTACCGTCTTACACAGTGTTATTATAAAGAAGAAGAACGCAAGGGAAAGTGCCCGTTTGAACGAGCCATTGTCTTATACATGCTGTCGTTGGTTCAGGTTCGAAAAATATTATATATGATGCCTTGGGTATTGTAGTGGGGCGAATTAGCATTTGCTCAAAATTAGATCATGGCCTTAGAGATTTACCTAAAGTTCACATAGAGACCAGATGTGTGCGAATGTGGGTATTTTACTAAAACGGGTTTTTAAAAGCTTTTTAGCTTATCCTTGCATTCTGTACAACATTTTGGTAAAAGAATCTGGGCTATTGTTTCATAGGGTTTCTCTGGCTCCTTAATCTGGAGCTAAACGTTTCTCAGGTGTAATTTAAAAGTTTATAAAAAGGGAGGAGAGGGATCGGGAATCGGCCAACAGGAGTTAAGTGCCTCTGTGTCAAGTATAGATAAACATTAGCAATAGAAAAAATATATTATAACATAATTTAATATAAAATATGGTTCAAACTCTAGCAGCAGCAAAGGAACCACACTCCGCAACTAAATATTTAAGCTCCTTTATCAGGTTCTATGGACACCAAACTCCCTCCACCATATCGTTATGGTGGTTTATTTCGCTTCTGCTCACGCATTTCCCTTTTTTTGGGGGGTGGAGGGGTTGTTGTTTTGTTTCTGTTTATTCCTTGGGTTTTTTGTTGTTGTTTTTTTTTGGGGGGGGGCGGGTGCTTATATAGATGATGGGCCTCACAAGTAGCCGTATTATATTTCTTCTCGATTTAAAAAAATGCCGACTACTCCAATTTCATAATGATTTTTCTCACACAACATGTTGGTGTGTGGGCACAGACGTCCCCGTGAGTAGATACCACATTGAGAGTAGTTGTCGTTTATAGCAACTGCACTGTCTCACACTCTCAATTTATCATTCAAGTGCGAAGAGTTTAATAACAGGTTTCAAAGGAAACGCTCTACAGATCGTTTAGTTTTACCGATGGTGTCAGTCCGATTCTATCCACAAGCTAGAGCAGAACCTCATTGTATACAGCTGTAGACCCTTTGTAGATGACGTAATGGTGATCATTTTTATTGTCTTTTCGCACTTACTAGGTGATTTCACTTGTTTAGTTCAGCAAATTTCCCCTGGTGTTGTCATCGGGCCAGCGTAATAAAGACTTTACGATTTGATAGACTTTAACAAAAAGAAATAGCCTGTAAGGTGGGGGGGGGGGGTAAAGGAACTGTTGTCTCTGTCCGATGTGTAGCGAGTAGCGAACTACTCTTGACAAACGGGAGGCTCGTTACCCATCCGCTCGTTTGCGTGTAGTGCCAGCAAGTAGTTCGTTACTTGTGGACGCTGGTTTAGCGAGTTCGACCCAACTCTATTCTGTGGTGTAGCGGTAAGGCACTTCTCTATTGCAGCCAGAAAACCAGAGTTCAAGGTCAGTGTGGGAGAATTTTTATTGAGTATCTTAGCTTCTCTGCTAGGACATTGTAAACCTCTCAGCCAGGGTTGGCCTTGATAGGCAGGGTCAAAGTCTACCTCCTAAATGATCTAAATTGTGTCAATGGGGGTGTAAAATACATTTTTAAAAAAATGTTTAAACTATTCTCAAATTTATGAATCATAGTTGAATATGGGAAAAAGTTGATTTCTTAATTAATAATGTAGATATTTGATATTTGTTTCTTTTCGTGCCGTTACTGGTGGTAGGAGTAGTGGGTTACTGAGTGTTTTAGAGATAGATGAGGAGAGGAAGGGGTGTAGGTAGAGTTGATTAAATGTTTTTTCTCTTTTTATAAGTTTATTTTGCAATTAAAGACTATTGGTGGATGTGTAGTGGATGCTCTGGAATGGTTTGCTACTTCTTTCCTATAAAGCATCTATGATCCTTATTTCTCTCCTTGTGTTTTTTGTATAAGACACTCTCTTGTGACACGTCTAATCTTCAGCTCCTTTTTGACTAATTGTGTTGCAAGTGCTAAAAAATTCTCACCAAACTTAAATCTATTACAAACTTACCTCATGGCTATACAAATTTTAAGATTTTTTCTTGACCTAAAGTAAGCCTTCAGTCTTATATGATGAACCTGGTCATCAATGATGAAATGGCAAACTACAACCTGTGTAAAGACTGGATTCTGGAGCCTGCAAGAAGAAATGTGAGTGAACATTTGAGGGTGAATAGAATGTGGTATTCTTACTAAGAATCTCTCTGTCGTGTATCTTGCTCTAGAAGCCTCTGTTCTGTCTAAAAGGGTT